CCTCACCTGAGGATATTTTTCCATTGATTTTTAGAAAGTGGAAGAGAGAGGGAAAGACAGAGAGAAATATCGATGTGAGAGAAACACATCAGTTAGTTGCCTCCTGAACGCACCCCAACCCAGTCCCAGGCTGGGGAGGAGCCTGCAACCAAGGTACATGCCCTTGACCAGAATCGAACCCAGGACCCTTCAGCCAGTAGGCCAACGCCAACGCTCTATCCACGAGCCAAATTGGCTAGGGCTAAATTAGAAATTTAGATAATCAGTTGCATTTACCATATTTCAAATATTCAATTGCTGCACATGGCTAGTGGCTACCGTATTGGATAATGCAGTTCTAAAGGAAGGTAAAGATTGCAAGTTCCCTAATTCATTTATAAATTTACAAACTTTATTATAAAAATCCTTCAAAGGATAAAAATAGCCCAACCTCTCTTGGGAATAAATGCTAAATAAAATATCAGCAAATTAAGTCAAATGATATTTAGAAACAATCATAACCAAATAGGGTATATTGAAGGACAGCCAGAGTGGTCCTTCCTTATCCTTCCTATTAACATAAAAGTCCCATTTACAATTTGCATAAAAATAAAATACAAATAAGCTTAGCAAAAATGGATATTTATGAAGAAGCTATAAAACCTTCCTAAAGGACATACAGAAAACTTTAAAAATGGGGAAGCACATGCCGTGATCCTGGAAGTGAAGACTAAATACTGGTAAAGATGTGTGGTCTTCTAAAATTAATCTGTAATTGCCCGGCCTGTGTGGATCAGTTGGTTAAGTGTTGTCCCTTGCACTGAAAGGTCACAGACTTGATTCCCGGTCAGGTCACATGCCTAGGTTTCCGGCTCAATCCCCAATTGGAGTGAATGCATGCGGGAGGCAGCTGATCAATGTTTTCTTTTTCTCCTTCTCTCTCTCTCTCTCTCCCCTCCACTCTCTAAAATCAATAAGAACATATAAAAAATAAAGTTAATCTATAATTTTAATGTAATCCCAATCAAAATCCGAAGAAAGAACATTTGTTACAGGGGGAGGGGACTAGTTAAACTAATCCTAAAATTTATTTAGAAGAATAAACAAATGGAAAATAGCCAAGAAAATTATGAAGAAAAAAATTACTTGTTCTACCTGATATAAAAACTACCTATAAAACTTTAGTGATTAAAAACATTGTGGTTCTGATACAGAAAACAAAACAAAACAGATAATGGAGATAGACCCCCTAGACCTAGGGGAAGTTATATAGTAAAGTTAGTATTTCAATGTAGTGGGAGAATGTATTGATTATTTAATAAAAGTTATTGGTATCACTGAATATCCTTAGGGAAAAAAGCAGAATTATCTCAATCTAAATTTCAGAATAAATAAATTCCAGATAATTAAAAGGTTTGGAAATTAACAAAAGAAACAAAATACTGGAACATTCACAAAGATAAAACTGAAGTACATTTTAAAATAATTTCGGGGGTGGGGAGGGCCTTTGGTAATATGATAATAAGCCACAAGTCATGGAGGAAATGATTGACAGGTTTGACTATTTTGGCAGACACTACTGGTTATCAATGAGATGTAAATAAAAATCTGCTGGGCACTACTGGGACAGATTTTCCTTCCTGGTGAGATAACAGATCTGTGAGCTGAAAAAAAATGTCCCCATGCTTTTCCTTCTAGATTGAAGTATGACGATGTAATATTTGAGGGTGTAGCAGCCGTCTCATCTTACAAGGGGAGACACTGCCAACACATTGTAGATGGGAAATCTGAAAGGTGTAGAGACTGGTGACATCTCTGAACCACCAAACCAATTCCGAGACCACATACCTCTGGATTTCAGGTTAATTACATTGTTAATATTTTATGATTCAAGCCCCTGCTACTTGACTTTCTTTTCCTAGGGCTGATACATATACGTAAAAACAAAAACTTTCTATGGCAAAAGACACAATGAGAAAAAAATAATTGCAACATAGATGTCAAGGCTAATGGTCTTAATATATAAATGACTTTTACTAACCAATAGGAAAATAAGAGAATACTTTAATAAAAATAAAACAGGCAAAGAACATAAACAGATAATTCATAAATGAAATTCAACTGACAAGTAAAGGTATAAACACATGCTCAATCTTACCAATAATGAAAGACTTACAGATTGAAACCACAATAAAATATTATTTTTTAGCCATCATACTGGCAAGGATAAGAAAGAGTGATAATGGCCAATGCTGGGGGTGGTGTGCAGAATCACCTTATCTCATACATGCTGGTGAAATGTAAATTGGTACAATTTTCTACAGAACTACTTAATATGAATCAAATTTTAAAAGATGTAGCCTATATTTCTCAGCAATTTTCCTTTTAGGAATTCTAAGGGAATAATCAGACATGATAAAAATGTGTATACAATGATGGTTAGTGTAGTATTCCTTATAATAGTAAAAAAATTGGAAATAACTCAAATGTTTCCAACAATAGGTAGTTAAATAAATTATGAACATTTATTCAATAGATGGAATTCTATGTAGCCATTAAGAAGGATGATGCATTGTATGTATTGACATGGAAAGATACTCACGATCTAGTGATAAGTAGGAAAAACAGATTACAAAACACTATGTGTTATGACTCCGTTTATGTAAACACCATATATATATATATATACATACATACATATATATATTTGAAGGATTTCTTTTTTAATAATAGTGATTATCTTCAGGAAGTGGGATTGAGAGGGATCTTTATTTCTCTGTTTTGGTTGAATATTTTATATATCAAAATAATAAAGCTGATTCCAGTTTCAAAAATAAAATGTTTCCAGAATAATATACAATGATGTAAAAAGAAAGATATATATTGCTAAGTTTAAAAATATGATACGAGTCAATGTTATAGTAGGGTATTTTAAAAATGGGGTTAATTTTATTGAAAATTACCTGGAAAGTTGTACACCAAGATGTTAACAGCAGTTATCTCTTGGATTAGGGTGGGGGCTTGTGGGGGTGGGGGATGGCGGGCATTTGATGATTTTTACTTTATGGTCATACTTCCCTGCTTAAACATATTTTTAAAAAGATAATTCATATTGCTTTTATGGAAAAATGTTATTCTTAAAAAACAAAAGAAAGAGGGAAAGAAGGAGGGAGGGAAGGAAGGAAGGAAGGACAGCTAGGATCCAAGAAGTGTGTTGATTTGATGCCATTAAATACAAACCCTGACATTATTTAGTTATTTATTTTTGCCTTTTGTGCCACAAAGGATTTTGACCCAAAAGAAAATATATGATAAAATAGTAAATTACAAATAAAGAAAAAAAAACCAGAACATAAAGAAAAACTAGAAAGACAAGACTAGAGAAAGCAGAGTCTTATGAAAATGGAGCTCCAAGGTGAGCCCCTCCCTCCTCCCGCGATTCCACATCCCTGTGGGGTCCTCTGCTTGCCCAGCTGGAGACTGGCAGCATCTGGGCATCTGCTCAGGGTGAACCCACGAAGTTGACAGTATAGTGGATACATTGTGGGGTGTCTGTCTGTCTAGCCCATAACAAGCCCTTTTTCTTCTTGCAATATCACGGCAAACCGAGCCAGGTGAACCTCTGGCTCACGCAGAGCAAGGCGGAACCTTGTCTCCTAGACGGTGGGAGCTGGGCCTGAGAGCTGCTGCGGTCTGGCTGGCCACCCCGGGAGTCTGGTGGGGGGCGGGGAGGGGGCGCGGGGTGGTTTACACAGAGCAGAGCGCACCTCCTAGGGCCTTAGAGCCCGCTAGTATTTCGTGAGGTTCCTGGTGCATTAAGAAACAAGGTTACAAAAAGGATGGTGTGTATTTAATGTTTATATTGAACAAATTAATGCTTTTAACACAAAAAACATAGTGCCACAAAAATGTTCTGTTCACAGGATAATTACAGGATTTATTAAAAATATTAATTCACGGTGCACTACAGGCGGTGTGGTCCAGAGCCAAAAGGGCCTGTGCCAACCTCCTGCGCCCCCCCCCCGGCCCCCCCGCCCCGCCCAGGCTGTGAACTCGGGTTGAGCCCAAGGAGGAGGAAACTAGTGCAGCTGGCAGCAGGCAGACATGGGCAGTCACTGATCCTCCTTCCCACCCATTCCAGGGCGTGGGGCCAGGTCCTCCCGGCCCCCTGAGACACCCCGATATCCTCCCAGCAAAGTCCCTTGTTCACGAACTCTGCCTGACGTGGACTCCTACCACTGGCAACCAAAAGAACTTCGCCAGAAGGCACTTGCCGACATCCCAGATCCTGATTTTTCATGGGAGGTGTGTTTTGTTCACTTGCGACGAATTCCTCTCGGAGAGAGAAAGGGAATTTTCAGCTCCCGAGGCCCCAGTCTCCGGTGAGTTCATGCGTACTCTCCCAAGGTGGAGGAGGACTGTTTAAAAGATGCTGAGTGGCAGGAGGAGAATGTCACCTCAACATCCCTCCGCCAAGCCCGGGGAGGTTTGGCTGAGCCTCAAGGACGCAGGTTCAGACAAGGGCAGGCCTGGCTGCCTTACTGCGAGCCAGAGCCAGTTCGCTGGCGCTGGAGAATGTTGGGGAGCCTTGGGGTCTTGCTTCAAGGCCTCTCCTAGAGTGGGCTGGTCCTAAAACTGGCTTCTGAGATGGGGGGAGGGTGACGGTGAGGGGAGTATCTGCCCTCTAAGGGGTTGCCTGGCAGACTGTGCTTCGGGCGATACAGAACAGCAGTAGCTGGTTCCATCAGTCATCTGATTTCTCTGATTCCCATGGTGCCTAGCAGCGAGCCTCAAAGCAAGCAGACACACAGTACTGTCTGTGGTCCCCAGTGCTGTGGGCAGCACGAAGCCTTCATCCTTTGCTCTGCTCAAGCAGCCTCAGGAGAATGTTCTGGGGCTCTCTTCCTCCCCTCCCATTGCTAACCAGACCCACAAATATTTCCTGAGCACTTACTTTGTGCTAGATTCCCTCTAGGTAGGAAGAGAGAGAGAGAGAGAGAGAGAGAGAGAGAGAGAGAGAGAGAGATTCATTAGTAAAAGAGACAGCTTTGTGGTAGTCTCCAAGAACAAGAACAAGGGGCCCATTTTTGTCATTCCCTGTTCAAAATTCCCATGTCCCCCACTCAATGCACACACACACATACATATGTTACTCTTAGAGTTTACATTCATAACATGTACAGCTGGAGAGCAGCGAAGTCTGCCTTCCACATTATACAGAACGGATTGGCAGCTGGGACTGAAGGCGATAGAAATAAGCTATTGATCAAGGGTTATAAAAGTACTGCCACTGGGGTCCTGTGATGCTTGCAAGCTGAGGGCAGCAGTAAAGTGCTACACAAATGCAATAACATTTATAACCCGGGGGCAAGTGCTTTTTACATGAAAATAAAAAGCTGATCCTCTCCAATTCTTCTCCCCCTCCATGGGCTGGGCTGGCCTTTGACAAGTGCATGGACAGGAGCCTAGGCAGAGTCACTTTGGATGGGCTGAGCTCTTATTCTCTGTGTAAGTGGCAGCGTCTCTTTTCTCCATGCCTGTACCTTCTGGTGGTCTGTGGAGTAACCTGCACTTTTTAAGCTTCTCTGATTGGAGGGAAGGAGGAGCGGTGTCCTGCATCCTGAGAGGCCCGATAATGCCTTGGTCCCGTGGGTCTTGCTTGGTTTGCTTTGTGGATGTTGCCTAGTCCTGTTGGGAGCTGAACTTTTCACTTGAATGGAAGCTGGAAATCACTCTTTAGAGCTTCATTCTCTGACATTTGTAAAAGGGGAAGTCCTACTTTAGGGAGAAATAAATGGAGATGAGAGATGGCTCTGGAGGTACCACAAAATAGTAAATGCTAAATGATGGCTGGACCTGAGGAATCCAACTTTTTCTTCCAAAACTCACCAGATCTGTGCTTCCTAACCTGTGTTCCAAGAACACCAGCCCTGTATGATTCCCATAAAAATGGGGCTACATAATCAAATAAATTGGGAAAATGCTTCCTCTTAGAGAATTCTATTACATCTTTGTAATTTAAAGACTCTAAGACCGTGGTTCTCAACCTTCCTAATGCCGCGACCCTTTATTTATTTATTTATTGTTTGTTTGTTTGTTTGTTTGTTTTTTAGAGGTTACCAAATATTTATTCATTGCTGGGGTCCATCCAAAGGTGTGGACGGAGTCGGCGAAGAAGGAATGACACAGAGGCAGCTTTCAGGTGATCATCATAGCCAGGTTTCTCTAGCCAGGATCTCCAGCCAAATTCTGTCTAGGATCTCCAGCCAGGTTCTGTAGCCATGTTCTCTCGCTAGGTTCTCCAG